TAAATTATTTGATAGGGTTTTAAGTAAAATCACAAGTGACCTCAAATGCGAAACCCGGCAAAAGATCAAAGGATTTTGAAGTGAGAATTGTGTGGCCTTGAATCGTTAAATAGGTATAAGATAGGTGCTGTAAGATGAGGATAAGAAAGATCGATAATAAGTTATTTGGAAAAATATTAGATGCAAAAGTCCCGTGCTTTTTTCGCGCATGCGAAATTATCGAATCACAGGAAAGGTGGATAGTCTTTTAAGCTGTAATAGAATACAATAAGTTGTTAGAAATAAAAGTTGTTTGTAATGTAATTTTCTATAATTTTTATTCTATACATAATTTCTCTAAAATAGACCGTATTCGAGATATTTGAGAAAATGTGTAAATTTCGAATTTTGAAGAAAACTATAATTTTTGCCTTATGTCAAATTTTCCTGAAATGGTCCGTATTTGAGAAATTTGACAAAATGTGCAAAATTCTGATTTTTAAGAAAATTGTTGGACTAAAAGTTGTTTGCGATATCGAACTCTATAATTATTGTTGATTTTTGATTTTTGATTTTTCTAAAATGAACTGTAATGGAAAATTTGGAGGGACAGTGCTAAATTTAAATTTTTCAGTATTTTCGTTTTCAATGAATATCTATAGAAAAATGTTTCGAGGTAGATGTATGTGGAAAATGTATACATGGTGTTTCAAAAAGGTATGTCATAAATTCTTCCACAGATAGATTACCAAAAAATAAGTGGATTTGGCTATATTTACCTATATCAAAAACTGGCTCCTAACAAAGTTACAGGGCGTTAAACTAACATTCAAAAAAACGTTTTATTTTTGTAAAAAGTTTGCTGTTGCGAATTTTTCTTTGAAATTTTCGCCAGTGCTGCAGATTTGAAGGCCCAATATTCTAAGGAAAAAAAAATTTAAAGCGACCCCTTTAAAAAAAGTTGGGGGATTGAGTACCTTTTAATCCCCCCGTAGTTTTTTTGTCATAATGAAACTTGCTTTATCGATCTAAAAATCAAAAATAGCTATGAATTTGTAATTTTTTTTATAGCAAAATGAACTTTGTATCTTTCTTAGTTAACGAGCTGTTTACAATTTTTTAACTGCATATCTAGAGCAATTCGTCCGTCCTGGACTTAACTTATCAACGAACCTCTAACTCAATTGTTTATTAACTTTTTTTATTGTTATTTATTAAATTCACCCGAATTTTACTTTTTTTTTACTTTTCAATTCAAATATCTTATAAACTAATGAAAATATCATAAGAACATTTCAAGACTTTTTTGTTCTTCGTTAATAAATAAACAAACTTTATTATTTAAAAAAATATGAATAATATCTACAAAATCTTTTTTCTATGTTATTTTCTTATTCTAATGATCTAATGAATTAATTAAAAGTAAATTTTAAAAAGTGTATAGTTTACAAAAATTTATTTAACAGTTTTAAACATTTTTAAATAATTTTTTTTTTATTTTTTAGTTCGTTTTAGAGCTCAATTTGTTTAATAATTAATAACGAACAAAAAAGTCTTGAAGTGTTTTTGTCGTATATTTAATAGTTTATAAGTTATTTTAATAACAATGAGTAAAAACAAAGAAAACTACAAGTGCAAAAGTACAATATTTTTAAAAGTTAAATAAAAAATAATAAAAAAAAATTAATAATTTTTTTTTATAATACGAAAGAACATAATAAAAAATGATTTAAAAAAAATGGTTTCTTAATATTAATATTTAGTAACAAAAAAAATTGTTATTTAACAAGTGCGTTTTTTATTAATAAAAAAATTTTTTTAAGGAACTTTTTTTTTTAAAATCATTATTTTCAAGGATAAAATTCCAAAGAAAAAGTTTTCAAAAATATAATAAACAATGTATTTGTTTATAACAATTATTTAAATAATGTTAGTTAAAAATAAAAAAAAAATATTGTTATATGGCTTTTATCAATAAGAAAACAAAATATTAATAATAATTGGAAAAAAAAATTTCCTAATGGGTTTATTTACATAAATAATTTTTTAATGCCTTTGATTGTTAATAAAAAGGGTAAAAATCAAAATTTTTGAATTTTTCCAACGGGGATCTCTTCTAAACCCTTTTAACAATAGCTTAAAAAAATCAAAAAAAATTCTAGATTTCTTGTTTTAAATTAATCAGCGTATTTATGTTAACATTAAAATGGTGAAAATTAACTAATTAACAAAAGCATAATTTATAAAAAAATAGTGATAAAAATTTTTTGTTTACGGATTATTGTTTATTCATATGTCTACTTAGTACCTAAATTTTGTTATTCCTTAATATTAATATTTAATCAGTTAAAATAATTTTTTTAGTTCATGTGTCAGATTGGGGCGATGCGCGCGGCAGCCGAATCACGCGTTTTTACCGTTATTTTCGCCGCTAAATTAAAATTATAAGGGTTGTTGGTACAGTTCCGGGAGGTAGGACTTTTTTTTAGGAAATTTCCTGCTATTTAAGGATCTTTTTTCAAATTTCGATTATCTCAAATAGTTTTTGAAATATTTCAAAAAAACCAAACCCTTATTTTTTATTTTACTTTATTGTTTATAACTTTTGCATTTTTTTTCAGCCCCCCTTGGAATTTTGATAGAATGTTCTAGATGCCATTCCGAATCGAAAGAGTTCAAAATCATAATTTTCGGTGCTGGAGGACAGGTTTCGAGGGAAATGGCACTTGTGAACCAGACTAATTAAAATCCAATATAGAGGGTGATATTCTAGCTAAGAAGAGCAATATATAAAAAAAGTCCGATTCAGGACTTTTTTAAAATTAAATTATGGTTATGATTAACCTAAGAGAGTGTAACTTTTTTACAAAATTTTATCAAATTATTTCTAGCCGTTCAAACAAAATAACTGATTTAAGTTTTGGCAAAAAATCATAAAACACCCTATATCTCAGAATAGAGTAGATTAAAGTGTGGGGGTGTTTTGAACTCAGCTAAGTGTACTCTACCACTCATTAAGCTGTGTCCGTTTAAATCTGAAACGCCCTTTATATCTATTATTTTATGCGTATTATGCGTTACCACATTAATCAAACGCAAAAAAGAACGAGACTCAAGAAAAAGGCAGGAAAAAATTAACAAAGATACTTTTTTGCTAGTTACAGAAAATTAAGGCCAAGAAGCAGCAGCCAGTTATTCTTCTCCGTTGGAAATCAGCGAGAGTACTCCTGCAACTGGATCTGAAACAAATGATTATGAAAATATAGACAGACAAGACGATCTTATCACATTTGAAAATGACAGCAGATCTGATGTAGTACCAGTGGAGACGGTTGTTCTAAAGGACGACGAAATATCTGCGATTTTAAAATGGTCTGATTTTATTAGTATTACAATATTTAATCCAAAGAGTCCCTAGAATATACTGAAAAAATGTATCAAAATGGAGACAAATTTTATTAAATAAGATTAATTAAATGAGAACAACTATTATAGATAAAACTTAATGATGGCAAATAGAAGGTATTGGCTAATATACAACGCAAATGGTAAAGCTGTTTATTGTTGCCTATGCAACTTATTTTCAGTTAAAAAAAATAGTTTAAATGATTTTGGATGTACTGACTAGAAACATTTAATTAGTTTGCTTAAATCTCACAAAGAAAGTAAGTCTCAGTTGAACTTCTTGGTTATATTAATAACAAGATCATTAATAATTGGAGTTATAGACGCTGGCCTAAAAAAACAAGTAGAATTCCAAGCTGACTATTGGGCAAAGGTCCTAAGAAAAATTGTTTCCACCATTAAATTAGTTGCTACTCAAGGATTAGCTTTTAGAGGCATTTTATTTTGAAAAGGGTATACTTCAATTTCTTGCGCTGAATTGAATTCAGCATGAACGAAGGAGGTGGCCATATTGAACATCTATTGTAAAAAAATTATGATTCTCATGTAATTGTTATTTTTCAGTAAATAGGCTTATTGATGATTTTTTTTAAATTTTAATAACCTTAAAGTCGACAGTGTTCGGGTTGCGGTAATTTATAAACGCTAACTTAGTTTTTTAACTATCAGTCCCTAGCACATTTTTTGTTCAAATACTATAAGAGATACATGTCTTTTGCAAAAGACAAAAAAATGCTACAAACGAATAGAGTTCTTCATAAAAAAGTAAGAGAACTGGGGCAATCCTAATAAAAATACGATGTCATTTATGGTAGGATTAGGGTGGTTTTTACCCATAAATTCAGTTGATATAATTTTTGCTTTGAACAATGAATCAATTATAATATCTACGTACCAAATATTATAAAAATCGAAATAAATTTTTTAAGTTTAAAAAAAAAAATAAAAAATGTTCATTCAACTTTGAAGCTTCCTCACAGGCAAACGAATCACTTTATGATATGTGTAATTTTGGCTCAATCAACTTATTGTGATCTCACCAATATACAGTAGCTCTCTGAAAACGGAATTTTAGGACACCCTGTAGAAAATGACGAACTGGTTAAACTAAATAAAAGTGATATAATTTTTATCTGGTGTTTTTTAAAATGCTTATTTTTTGTTTTGTTTTTCTCCTTCTTATTTTTAAAAATTTTTACAACTAAAAATTATAAATTCAAGCATGTATTAACTTGTTAAAAAAACTGACAACGAATAGCAATGAAAGTTGGGTAAAAAAGGCACCGTCACCTGTGGTTACTGAAGAGTTTAAATCGTGTTTAGATGATTTAGTTTTAGTGAACTCTTTATTTACGGTTACTGGTTTTAGTTTCACTAAAATCTTACTGATAGTGAAGTTTTTACTGTGGTAGGTTTCATGGATTCATTTATAGCTATTAAAGTCTGTTAGTATAATGTAAATACGTACCTTTTATTTAAGGTAGGCACGAATTTGAAACTGTTAACGACATGGTTTTAAGAATACGAGTTTAAATTACTATTCGCTAAAAGTTTTATTTATAAGAACATTAATAATATTTAATTATTTATCAGTTTACAAACAATCAAAGACCAGAGACTGGGTAAATGCAATATATTTGGAGAGTATCTATAAAGATTAAGAGTTAAAGATAATAATAGTTAATTTAATAATAATTTTTTTTTGTAATAGTTAAAAATATATCTTTATGAAGTGTGATGTTTTTCTAGTAAACAAAATCTTTACCACTGTTTTTTCCGTGTACTCTGCCACTGTCGGATTCTTAAATGGGAACAGGACTAGCACTTCGAGATACAATATCCGGAAACCCGAATGGGGTAGAAACTAAGAGGATTACATTTAGCTTAGAGCACCAGTACAAGCAGGCTTTGAACCACACTCTCGTTCAGATAGATACGAGATCTAGATGATATTGATAAAAAACGGTCTAAAAATTTTCTAATGACTGTTAAATAAATATTACAATAAAAAACTACAAATTAAATTTATCAATATTATAAATTTAAAATGAAATATCTTTAAACCGGGATTAAAAGACTTAACAATGGCGGAATCAAAAATAAATCGTAAATTGCGATCTATCCTTTGATTAACCGTTAAACCTACACTCGAATCCTGCCAAATTGTTACCCCGTACAGAAAATTGTTGCATATTACTGATCCTCCACTGTCGATGCTGTCGCCTTTTGTTGTACAAAAAATATTTGAATTAATTTCTCTCATCGGATATAGCTGGTGATTCTTTGTTCTACAATATTCTATATGTACTGGTGTTACATCCGTACAGTGTACCATTGCCGAACCCCATCCTACAGAGACGCAATGTCGTAATAAATTCATTCCAAGGTTGTTGAAATCCTTATAAATCGGTGGCGCTAGCCGTGCAAATCCACTATTATTCTTATGGTGCAATGGAGATTCTAATCTTAATAACGCAATGTCGTTTTTGAAAGTTGCTGGATTATAATCAGGATGTAATACTGTCTCTACGGCCGATACTGGACCATTGTACATTAGGGAGTCTAAAAAGATATGAAATTTTAAAGGTATCGTTTTAAATTATATGTATATTAGGAGTCCCAGACCTTTTGAATTGCGATAAATACTTGATGGATTTTTTCTATACCAGAACGAGTAATCAGTTAGTATAATTTTTACTTTATGACTTATTTGTAGATATATTCATATTTTCTTATTTTAACATGAAGTATATTATTATGAACAATATATAAGTATAATTTCTCATAATATTATACAAGATACCTGAAAATTCTCGATTTTACGAGATGTGTTTCCTGACAAAGAAAAAAACATTAAATTTTAAACTTAAAATTTATTTCGGCCTGACGTGAAATGATTAGATTTTGGACAAAGTCGGAACATCTGGGGGTACTTTATGGGAGGCCGTTTTTATATTTTATGGAATATATCTGTTATTTATGTTTGGATAAGAAAATCTTTTAAATAAAAGTTACTTCTTATATTATTACCTATAATTTTTGCCTTATGTGAAAATTTCCTGAAATGGTCCGTATTCGAAAAATTTGACAAAATGTGCAAAATTCTGATTTTTATGAAAATTGTTGAACTAAAAGTTGTTTGCGATATCGATCCCTATAATTTTTGTTTTTACATGATTTTTCTAAAATGGACCGTAATGGAAAAATTGCAGGAAAAGTGCTAAAGGACCCCGCACTTTTTATAGGGAAAAATGGTTTCAGTCCCAAGGTTTAATTTTTGGTGAAAAATGTAGATCTCAATATCCTGAACAAAAAAGGTACTGGGCACAAAAATATCTACCGTCAGGATTTTGCGCTACGGGCCATAGAAGGTCGGCACATGGGGTTGCCGGTTTCGGGTCATTTTTATCAAAAAAGAGCGTATTCAGTGGCCGATTATGGATACATGCATGTCTGGAGGTGTGTTAGAGTGAAAAAGTACTATATGTATACAGGGTGATCCATATTTGTGGAATATATTAATTTTTTTTTTTTTTTATTTTATTGGCTTTATTATTACGTTTTGAAAAAATCCTTGAACAGATCGATTTTTATTTCTAAAATGACATTTTCTGAACAAAATTATTTATCTCCCCCTTCAACCCCTTCGGAGTAAAAGTCACCCCTTTCACCTCTCACAAAAATGTCAATTCCTTGAGATGTATTCTATATAACATAGACAAACCATATATTAGAAGAATGGAAAAAGATGAGTAAACAGAATCTAAAATAATATACTGGAGTTATCATTTAAAAAAAACATATGTTTGGTTCGTACACGAGCTGTGCAACACCCTGTATACCTCCCAATAATTTTAAAATGTTAACCTCAAACCTGTCCATAATTTTCTTAATTCACTTTTTTAAGATCTCTTTCAACAAGGAAGATATCGAACTTTTCCACAAGATTGGTCCACACTGTATATATATAGTACTTTTTCACTCTAACACACCTCCAGACATGCATGTCTCCATAATTCGCCACTGAACGCGCTCATTTTTGATAAAAATGACCCGAAACATGAAAACCCATGTGCCGAACTTCTATGGCCCGTAGCGCAATATTCTGACGGTAGATTTTTTTGTGCCCATTACCTTTTTTGTTCAGGATATTGAGATCTACATTTTCCACCAAAAATTAAAACTTGGGACTAAAACCATTTTTCCCTATAAAAAGTGCGGGGTCCTTTAAATTTTTCAGTATTTTCGTTTTCAATGAATATCTATAGAAAAATGTTTAGAGGTAGATGTATGTGGAAAATGTATATATTTAGTTTATCCTCTAAACATTTATAGAGGTGCTGCAATAGGTTGTACAAAATAACCGGAAAAAGCCTATAATAACAAGATAGGAAAGTCATGTGTTGGACATATCAGATTTTTATTATTCTACTCATATGTTTGCAATGTAGTTTACCCATTGTCAGTAAGGATTTATTTTATTTTATGGAAACCTTTAATGAAATTCGCTTTAGAAATTAGGTCATCTGCGCAGCATTATATAAATTAACCAAACTCAGGTTATATTGGGGCAAGAATAAGAGTTGTGTTTCGATATTTTTATTAAAGCAAATATCAACAGGGGTCTGCAAGAAGTCGTTTTGATTAGGATAGAATTTTTCCCATATAAACCTATTCATCATTAAAAATGTAATGACCACTATATTTTTAAGAATAAGAAATATTTCGTTAACGAAAATGATGTTAGGGTTGTGTTTCTTAATAAGAACTTTTAAGCTACCAACATTCACTTTTTATGATCGAATAATGGTTAGTGGAGTAATTGTGACCAGAAGAAGTACAGATGTTTGGTTAGATTGTAGTTCCTCTTGAACAGAGTCTACCAACTTTATCCTGTGATAAAGAGGTATTATTAACTTTGAAAAAATATTTTTGTTGAAAATTATTAATAGTAACAGAGGTCATATTATTTATTAAATTAGCAATAAATATCATAACGAGTTCTCTGTAAGATTTAGATGAAACAGATAGATAATATCAAAGTTTTATTACCAAATATGGCCTATTGACATTGGATGTAGAAGAAGTTGGCTGTGGAATTCTGCCAATAGGATGTGTGAGACACTTATCAATTTTTTTTGTTGTGGTCTTCTACATTTAACAGTTATTTGACTTGCTATTATATATTGTCTGCACTATTAATGAAAACTGTTCTTCTTTTATGAATATTCATAGAATGGACATTTGGAGGATCTTTAGGGAAGTAATTTTCATTTATAGTATTAATTTCTCTTGGAACTATCTATCTTGCTTTATAGTATAAAATGTTTAAAAAGAGTTCTTTGATATATTTAAAAAAAAAATTATCATTGTGAAAGTGTTCTTCACTTTTATAGTGGATACAAAACTTTGGTCAAGTTTCTCTACAAATTTTCAACTGGAACATATTGGTTCTTGTTCTTCTTTCACTACTTATTTGTTAACTCTTTTTATTTTTACTTTTAGAGGTTGGAAAAAGGGCTGTTGGGTATCTATGGTATCTTGTACTTCGTTATCTGTGAGATATTTTAGTACAAGTCTGATTATACCTTTACAGGATACATTATTTGTAGAGATAAAGACTTCGTAAACAACTGCATCCCAGCCTTTATCATTAATAAAAAAAATTCGCGACAATATATTTTAAAATGGTTGCTTTACGCAATTTTTTTTTTTTTTGATCAGGCTTAATTACTTTCTTGAGTTTTCATTTCATAGTTTTGGCTCTGATATGGATATGGAAGTTACCAATAGTCTTGTTTTTCGTTTCACATAGACTTCATTGGTATGCCTGCTTAGGAATATGGGTAAAATATTTTTGATTTAATTGGGCAATTGGAGATATAAGGCGGTTCTTTAGGTGGTTTCTCAAGCTGTTTATCAACCGCTATGTTGAGCTGGCGCTGTCTTGTTGCTTAGGTTGTGTTTGGTTACTGAACAAGAATTCGCTAAAGTGTTTTGTAATTAGCCACAAAATTACAAAATTTATTAGCAAACGATGTGATTATTACGTTTGTCAATATGACATCGAACAGCTTTCAAGCTCCTAATGTGACAGCTGTTTGATTGCTCAATAGCAGGGGTGCGTTCAGAAATGTAGGGTAAATGCGTCCGGACGTTGTCTAAATTCAAAAAAGCGTTCCTAAATATGGAACGTTTTATCTGGACGAATTACCCCAGCCGTTCCTATTTAAAAGAAAAACTCGTCGGGATGAAGAAATTTTACCCACCGTGTTGAGTTGGGTAATTTTTACTCGACTTGCGCAGTTTGTCATAACCTCAATTAACCTAAGAGAACCACCTAATATTTAATTTCCTATTTTTACTTTTTGAGTAAAAAATATTTAAATATGAGTATGAGTGAGAGAATTAATTCCATCAATTATCGTCTAGTTGTCGGAAACGATGGTAATTTCATTATAGAAAATGATAAAATTTTATGACACAGGATTAAAGGTATTGAATTAAATTTTTACATAAAAAAATCTATGTGGACGTCAATAATGTTACCTATTTACTAATTTTTGATAATTCCTACAGTCTCAGATAACAGAAAACACATAACCAAAAACTTAATTTCACAATACTTTGCACTTACCGTTCGTATTTATCGGCCAAAAATAAACGTTCCGACAAATTTTGTCCAGACGATTGAAAATTTGACGCTCTCCATTTCTGAACGCACCCCTGTTGACTTCCTTAGACAATTTAACAGTAAAAAAGTAAACAGTTTAATGCTAAAAAACTAAACTTTTAAAAAGGTTAAGCGGAAGTTATTTAAAAAGAAATTAAAAAAAAAGTGACGGGTCCCTTATCCCCCACTTTGCCTGTAGTTATCTTCTTCCTACTCTACCCAATAGTCAACTGAACTGTTGCTTCTTCTTTTAATTTAATATGATACTAATTATCAAAATTAGGCAGGTTGAAGAGGTAGGTTCATCTTCTTCCAGATAATTGTAATAGAATATGGGACCATAACTGGTGTGTTAGATTCAAAGAAAATTGTGATCAAAAATATTAGTTTCAACTTACGTTGCACTCGGATAAGACTTAGAAAAATATGGGTAAGAGCTCGTACATGTTTAGAGTTTCACCATTCTACAAGAATTGACAGTTAAAATATTCTATATAATTTTTGCAGTACTATTTTATTCGTCTTATCTTAGCAGAGTGTTGGACAAGCCAACAAAAAAATCATGGTAAGCCGCCAAAAGATTTCTTAGATATCTACATAACACCAAAGCATTGAGTCTTGTTTGCATTAAGGAAGAAAGAGACATTTGGAAATTAAAACCTTTTTCCAATGCAAACTGGGGCGGAGACAGCAAAGATAGAAAAAGTGTATCTGGTTCTGTTGTATTATTCAGAGGTAATGCTGTCACTTGGGGATCCAAGAAACAGAATTGTGTTGCGCTATCTATAGCTGAAGCTGAATATGTATCTGCGGCCTCCTCAGCTCAAGACCTGGTATACTTAAAGGGAATTTTAGAAGATTTTCATAAACCTAGTGATTCTGTTGTCTTACTCGTAGATAACCAAGGGGCCATATCCATGGTACAAACCTTTAAAAATTCAAAAAGAACCAAACATATTTTTATAAAAGAACATTTTATAAAAGATCTGGTTTAAAAAAATATCATAGAGATTATTTATGTCCCTCTGCAAGGACAAATTTACACAATTCAGACAAAAACTAAATTTGAAATAAATGATATTCGATTTGACACTCTGCGTCTACAGAGTTTAAATCGAGGGGGGATGTTAAGATAATAAGTATTCACGTTAAGATTTAGTGTTTGATTTAGTAGTTTTACAATGGTTGTAGATTCAGTTATTTTATTGTAGTAAACGATTGTCAGTCAGTCTGATCAAAGAATACCTACCCAAGAAACGAAACTAAATGGGCGATTCGTAGATAAAAATTTGCCAAGTTTTCTCAGTGTTTTAGATATGGTTTAACGTCAAATATAGCTGTCAGTTTATGTAGGGCCAACGTTTGGTATATTATTATTAGCGTTTTGTGAAAATTTCAGTATAGTTAAGTAGTTGTATTTAAATAAGTAATAATTAGAAATTAGATAGTTTTAAAATTTGTATTAAAAGAAAATTAAAAATTGCCTTATTCGTAAATCTTATTAAACGTTCTTGCATCTGGCTGTTAATGTTTTTTTCTAAATCAGTATTACCTATAATGATAATTTACGCCTACGTGTTATGCATCGTTTAATTTCTTAGTTTTTTATTTAAATATGTAATTTTTTTTGTTTTTGAAACTATTTGAATTAAAACAGCAAAAAAGCAATAATACAAAACAATAATTATATGACAAACTCACTTCGAGGAACCAAGTCGCTGCTATCAAGATGCATTCGAAATGCATTTATAGCTACCTACAGTGCTTCTGGATATGTAACGTGTAGAGGCCAAGAGGTGCTTCTCTTATATCGGCCGATGTTAGCCAATACTCGCCGAAAACAAATCTAATAAATGAGAGCGACTGGCAATCGTAGAGGATATGTTCAAATGGTCTCATCTTTTTATTAGCACCCCCTGCAGGGTGCGGATTCTGACATACCCATGATATGGAGTTGCTTCTGTACTTAGTAATGACCAGTCAGAATGCCTGTGATCAGACACAGATTCTGTCTAGTCATAGTCAAGTATTTGTTTGTTGTAGTGTTGTCAGGATAACTTAAAAGCTCCCTGGTAACTCAGCAGTTTTATGTTGTCAGTCCAATAGAAAGGCTAGGTCCAAAAATTATTTGGTTGGTCGTCTTCTTGGCTAGTGAATCAACAAGAAGGCTACCTTTCGTTGTGACGTCACCTTCGATCCATCTTAAGGTGACCACATTGTTGGATGGATACTATTGCCAAAGCTTCGTGACATTCTAGTACTAACCCTGAGTAAATTCATAGTCTGTTCAGGTTAAGTAGTGCTTATCTGTTATCTGTATAAATAAGCATATTCCTACCAGTAATATTGTTTCTAGTGATTTAGTTTGCTGCTATGAGAACCTCCGTTAACTACATTGGCACTATTGCTAACAGTCCATTTTATGTTAAGGTTTAAGTAATTGGAGTGTATTCCACATCCTGAGCATTGTTTTGTTTTAGAACCGTCGATGTAGATATGAATCGTACCTGCCACTTCCGGCTCTGTTATAACTTCATATGGATTATGGAAAATATATCTCGGTAACATAAAGTTCATGTGCGACGTCTCGCCTCACCAGATCGTACATCAGGTTCTATTCCAACCGTGCAGAGGCGTGTCATTGTCATCAGAGCAACCTCCTTAATGTAAATATCAAGGAGAGTGAGACTAAGAACGAAACACATGGCTCTGATTGTTGTGGTTTTCATGGCTCCTGTTATGTTGAGACATGCTGCTATTTAAATTGGTTCCATTTTGCGGGTAGCTGTCAATTTTTGGATTTTCGGTACCCAGAAAACTGCACCATATCTTAGCAGAGGTCTTATGATGGCCATGTGATGACTTTGAAGAACAAACCCCAGGTGCACGGTAATGTATGCTCTTTTGACTCTGTTTTCTAAGTGTGAGTTCCATGTTAACTTATTGTCAAAGGTGCTACCTAGGTACTTTACCTTTGTTGCACAGTTTTGTTTTGTGTTTAGGAGCTCTGTAGGTTTTAATTCCATTTTCATCATTTTCTTTGTGGAAAGGACTATTTCTGACTTCTTGGGATTGATAGACAGTGAATGGTCCTTGAATCATTTTTCCAAAATTGTTCTCAAAATTCCCTATTTGCAGAATGATCAGGTCATCTGCTTTCGCTATTGTGTAGTGACTGTCATTATTGTACCTACAGTAATTATTTCGGTATTTAAATAATCTATTTGGCATACTGAACATAGTTAAAATTTTCTTTTTGTCTATGTTACTTTAGTATGTGTTTAATTCTTATGAACCAAACGACAAAAACTGGTTAATTTTTGTACGTTTCTTAGTATATTAAGTTCCCTTGCTTTGGTACATACGAAAACTCATTCAGTTTCGCTTCTTGAGTAGGTATTCTTTGATCTGATATTTATTAAAAAATAAAGTTATATAAAAATCATCCATTTTACTTCCACAAAGTCCAACAAAAATCAGTTGCAGATTACTGATTTTTAAAACCTTCAAAATTAAATGATATATCGCATGAATACAAATAAACATCTAAAATTTTTCCATAAATTGTTGAATCACTGTTAGGAAATAAACAATAAGGGAATAATTTACCTATTTTACAGCATTCTGCTACAACTATTGATTGGTTAACCACACAATGAGCTGCAGTCAAAACTAAAAACTCATTTAGCAAAGTACCACCGCATTGGTGTTTATAAGTTTCTTTGATATTGTCCCATTTTCTTAAAGAAACCAAAAATTCGTAATTGATTGGGGGACCATAGGACTTACACGAATTGCCACTGACAATTTTTCTTCCAATAATAAGGAAAATATTTACTATTATGAGTAGACTTACAACGAGATTCATAATATAACATTAAATTTCAATAATTATTTACTATTTTGATTTGATGGTGACCATTAAAATGACACTGCAATTCTCAACAATAGTTAACTAAATAGGTTGGATCATTCAAAATATGTTAATATAACGGACGTCATTTGATATGCAATGTAATAAAGGATGTAACTCTGGAGTGTAGAGGATTTAACTTAAATATCAGTTATTAGGCATTCCAAACAAAATGGCGTATACCTTGAAGTAAAAATGTAGGTAATTATTTTTTTTTATTATATTCAAAGGCTGAAAATTGGTTTGTATACACATTTTTACTAAATTGATTCTGATTAATGAGAACTTGCAAGGCAATATGGCCACCCGCTTTGAGCATATATAACTATATAATATGTATCATTGACCCTGTCAATAACAAAAGCACGGCATAAAAAACTGCCGTGACAAAAGGCCCCAATTGAAGTATGTGACAATGTGACAAGCCCATTGGGTTGCCATATCTAAACTGTCAGTTTCTACTTGTCAGCATTTTAACAGGGGTGGGATTCCGTTTCACGATTCGACTCGAATTTGATATCAAATTCCATAAAAGCAATTCCGTTTAACGAGTAGTCTATTCGATATCAAATCGTTAAAGTTGGATTATTCTGACATTAGGTATGACCTGTCAATGAGGTTAAATAATAAGCCTGTGGCTTAAAATTTTAGGGAAGAAAGGAATTTAGTTTCCAGGGCATACCTATGTCTCTGGCAATGCCTTTTCTGGATAACCCATTGTGCAACAGAGGTCTTTTATATCCTTAGAATATCAATAAATGGATTATTTATTATACAAAGTGCTACAACGACGAGTTTCTTTTTTGCAACTCATTCTTTTTTAAGTCTAATAATAATATTTTCATAATTTAACCCATTATGAGAGATCCTTGCAACTCTGAATGCAGAGTTGTTTGTGCTCAGTGAGGGATGCCTATTATTATTTTCCATGGCTCTCCGAGGCAACTTACAGATGTCATTTGAATTATAGATGAGGATACCCCTGAAAAACCCCACCCATAAGCATAAAAACTTGATAAATCATTACAATTTAATTTTTGTTGTTTGACGTTAAAAGTCGTGACATTCTGTTCTGTGTCGAGTAACTCGACACATAATTCGATCGAATTAAAAAAAGCGATTCTATAACTCGATCTGTTTTGACTTAGGAAAACTTCGGAAATTCGATAAAATAATGAAGCATTCAAACTATTCTGACTTTTAAACGTCAAACAACAAAACTTAAATTGTATTTCTTTAGTCTTGACGTGATTTATTTATTAGGTTTTATTCTTATGGGTGGAGTTGTCCGTAGTGTTCTCATTTATAATTTAAATGACATCTGTAAGTTGCTGCGGAGCGCCATGGAAAATAATAATAGTCGTCCCTCCCCGACAACAATTAAATTGTATTGTATTTGGTTTATCCATAAGTCATAAGATTAATAATTTTTTTTTATGATGGTTGCGGTTTTTCTGGGTATCCTCATCTATAAGTTATAAATGACACCATCTGTAAGTTCCATTGGAGCGCTAATGCAAATAATAATAATAACAACAATAATAATAATAATAATAATAATAATAATACGGTTGTCCCTCCCCGATACCAGCTATGCTTTCAGAGTTGCAGGGATCACTCGTAATGGGGTAAATTGTAAAAAGATTATTTAATATTATTGTGCTTTGTGCTAAAGAAATGGAATGGCCTAAGGGAAAGAAGTGATCCTTTCGAACTCTCTGAAAATCGCTGTGGATAGCTTTTTCGACTGAATAAAAATTATCTACCTTTATTAATTTATATTTTATAGCGTTTTATTTAATTAATAAATCCTCTTATTGATGTTTCAAGTAGTATGCAGAGTTCCTACTATTTCATAGGGACAGTGTTGATATTTCTTAAACGCTAACAGATAGAAGGTTGATTAAATATGAGAAAAGTTACGCAGTTTTGTGCTTATTAAAATGGTGCCAAGAAACCTTTGATATCTATAGGGAGATTTAAAATATCGTTTTTTGTCAGATATGGGTCATTCTCAGTTGAGACGTAAATCGCTTATTGATAAAACGCGGCACGACAAAAATTTTGAAATTGAAATCAAATTTTACAATGGTTCGATCAAAACAATCATTTCAAACGTGCCTGCAAGACGGTCAGTCAATTTATTGATTTTATCTCGTTTTATAAGATGCCAGGGGAGATACTCATCCAGGGGAGAGACTTAATGTACAGAGTAGAATACTTTGTGATTAGAGAAAGGATTTTAACATTATTTTATGAAAGAAAACAACATTTTATTGAAGTAATAACTTTATTCAGTCATTTTATAATTTTATTTATCAATAATTAATTGATAATAATTAGTCTTTAAATTTTCAAACAGCCTTCATAATATACTAGTATACAGTTTAACTTTAAAAAAGAAGTTATTATTTGAATAATAATCTCAGCAATAACATAAATTATATTTGTTTTAAAATTTTTAATTATCAATCATTAATCATTAATTAATAATTATTAAACTTTTCATTTTCATAAACAGCCTATGTAATGTACTAGTAATACTGTTCATAAATTTATCATAGAAATTCTTAACTAAATAATATTAATAATAATATAACATTGAGTGAAACATAACACAGATATATTTTACTATTAAGAAAGAAAAAATTAAAAGTACCTTTATTTTTAGCTTTTACCGATTATAACTGCTACTTTTTCATTTTTTTAACGTGTATGCTTTTGGCTACGTAGTGTTCGTGACGATGAGGGCTTTGAGTGATGTTTCTTCTTTGTAGATTTCTTAGTTAATCGAATTGATAATGGCTCATAATCAGTATCACATGCTGATGAGTATACATTATCAATACACCAACGAGATTTAGACTTTGTTTGAGAAAAATCTAAGATACTTAGTTTAAAATGATCGCAATTATCTGGATTACAAAAACAGCTTAAGCTCTTCATAATTAAACGATTAGGAAGAAACACACTTCCGCAAATTTGGTGAACCTTTAATGTCCCAGTAAACGTTTTTATAGTTTTTGCTGGTTCAAATTTTGCCTCTTTGTCTGCAATATCTGCATCAGTAATGATTAAAACTGTAATGTTTGGACAATTTTTTTGAAGTACTTGGGTAAAGTCTTCTAATGAGGAAATATCGGTGCCACTTGCAACCAGTTTATCTGCAGTCCTTTTGCAAGTTGCACCCACTCCGTCTGGAGCTCCCTTTCCGTGGCCGGATTCGTGATAATTCCAAGAAAAATTCATAAGATTAGGATAAAATTCTTCTAACTTTGTCGCTAATACTTTAAACATAATTTTGTTTCGGTACTGTGTCACTGGCCCATCGCTCAAGAAGTGTAAATTAGTAACAGTAGCCGGTAAACTGTCAAGTATTGGTTGCAAATGGGCCCAAATCGCAGAAGGTGAGTGCGATAAATTTTCAGACAAAGTACAAAAGCATTTACTCTTAATATCTTCCCCAGCTCTTTTTGTATAGACTACCACGGTGTGCATACTTATTTGCTGTCTCGAACCTCCGAAATGAAAGGATTGTACTTCTTCTGCGTACTTTGTTTGAAAGTTTTCACTGAAGTCGACATGTATTATAGCATCACTATCAGTGAGATTTTCTTTTTTTGCTTTTAAAGCTTGGTACTGATGCACTATATTCAATTCATTATTATCATTATTTTCTAAATCCAGAATCAAATCTCGTGGATTAATCTTCAGCGTACTCTTAACACACTTTGTTACAGTTTTTGTTTTTTTAGTTTTTGGATCGACATAATCTTGGCGTACTGATTGCCACTTTTGGTAATTCAAGGGGTTTGAATTATCAAATTCTTTGTAATCAATTCCTTTATGCTTACAATTTTCACATTTTCTTGCTAAACATTTTTCACATTTTCTTGCTAAACATTTTTCATCATGTCTGTTACAACAGATAGAATTTAGAAAGCTCACATGGTTTGGAACTGATATTATCTTCGCATTATACAGGGAAGACAAACATAAATCCATGTTGCTATGTGTTACACACATACAAGTGTTACGATTACTGCAATGTGGCTCGACTATCCAAAACGGTTGAAGCTTACAAAAAGCTGAATATGAAATTTGTACTTGTGACTTTTCCAAAAAAAGTTTATGTAAATTAAATAAAGTATCTAGCCTAATTCTTTTTTGTTTACGCTCACCTTGCTTCGTTATACAATCCTTCTTCCCAGCACACACTCTGCTATTTGAGTATTCTTCCATAAAAGTAATAATTTTCTTTTTCATTATACCATAATATTTTCGACTTTTTTGTCTTGACTCAATCAACTTGCAATTCCGAGTCAGATTTTTTAGAGGTTTCACCGTTTTTTCTTTGTCTAAAACATTGTACTTGTTGACTAGTTTTCCACTAATAACTCTTTTAAATATTTTTTTTTCTTTCGTAGAAGAAAGATTCGAATAATTCTCATTTAATTGTCGTGATAAAACCTCACCGTATAATAACTGTTTTCGAACGATTTCTAGATCTCTTGCAGTGGGTGAATTGACTAAAGCATTCACTTTAGTGTTAGGCGAGTCTTCTGTTGATAGTTTTGACGTCAATTCTGTTGACAACCTTTGTAGACGTTTTTTGTAACAATCCACTCGAGATTTAAGTTTAATAATATCAGCTGCTTGTGTTTTGATCATTAGGTTTCTTCTCCTCCTCGCACGAGAAGATTTTAATTGTGCTGCTTGTGTTCGTTTATCAGGTTTTCTTCTCTCAGGAACGGAGGAACCATTTAATTTTTCCTGCAATAAACGACGTCTTCTCTTTGCTTTTTCCTGCCACAGCTTTCGAGCTTGCACCTTTTCCTGTGGAGTCATTTTATCTACAGTCTTAATTGTTCCTTTTTCTTTTTTTTTTTATATTTTAATTGTTCTTTGACTTTTTGTTGCGCATATAAATCTGGATCATTTTTAATTCGCTGGTATCGCAATCTTTCTGCGATACGTTTTTTTTTCAAGGAGTTCTTTACGTGCTAATTCGTTTACGGGTGCCATATTCTGTAAAAAAAACATAATAATTGAGTTTTTTTAAACTAACTAAATTGTGAATATATTTATAAGTTAAATGCGCTAGTTCAGTGTGATGTCATTTTGGTTCCACTGACATTTAATTCTAACCAAACTTTTAACAAAAACATCAATAAATTTGACATATATACGTTTTTAATGTTTTTATTTTATTTCAAAATATTATTTACAATTCATAAAAATAGTTGAAATGTATGTAAATTCGTAACTAAACGATTGTATATTTGATGCATGTTATCTACTTACTTTAGGAATATATTTATACAAGTGAACAAACGATATAATTTAGGTAAACACAACGAACAAAACGCACTCAAAAAATCTACTGTCACTTTAATTGTCAGTGGAACCATAATTACATAATCACTGAACCAGCGCATTAAATAACAATAGTTAACCTTTAAACAATAAAAAAAATTATAGTTTAAAGTTTTCATATCTCCCCTGATATCGTGTCTTTCCCCTGGCCCTTACAAGACAGGGGAGATATAAACAGGGGAGATACTTTTTAGTAACAAAAATAGAAATAATGACAAATGTATTTATTGTATGAAATTAACCAAGAAAAGTTAGAATCTATACACAACGAGAAGTAAATATACGAATGAATTAAAATTTTTAGATGAATATTTTAAAAATAAAACTTACCAGGCGAGAGACTCCGTTCACTCGTTGTCAACTGTATGCACAGAGTGCCAGTAACGAAATAAATGACTAAATGACTGCGCACCTAGTTCGAGTGGCTCTGATTACAAACTATACACTCAACAACGTTCGCTCAAGATCTTCAGTTCCCGCAAGTCAGTAAACAAATGCCGATTTTACACAAAAATAAGCGTGCCAGGGGACGAGACGTAAAATACGTGGGACAAACGTAAACGTAATTTTTTTTTTTAAGAAAAAAAAAATCACCCAATTTTAATTGCTTGATTACGATAATTTATTTAAATTATTTTGTTGAAATGTATAATTTAAATAAGTTATTTGATTTTCAAGTACTTAAAATTACAAATAAATAAATAGAATCGGCCCGGGGACAAGCCAGGGGAGAGATGTTTTCCGACTTTGAGGTGAAATTGTGACTAAATTAAATAAAATTAAGAAATTAATTTGAATGACCAATTATATGAGCACGAGTTTTAAGAGAAAATAACATTCTTTTTAATAAATTTTTTTAAAAAAGGTGATTTTTTGTTATGGACGTCGAATTTACGGCTTAACTGAGAATGACCCAGATATATTGAATTTCTTTGTAGATATCAAATGTTTTCTAGCACCATTTTAATAAGCACAAAACTGCGCAACTTTTGTCAAATTCAACCATTTTTCTATCTGTTACCGTTTAAGAAATAGCAATACTGTCCCTGACTCACGAGCTAGTATTTCGTTGAACGGAATTGCAATTATGGAGTTTGGTATTAAATCCGAGTCGAAGATTTCCGAAGTCAAAACAGATAGAGACTATAGAATCGCTTTTCATAATTCGATCGAATTAATTGTTTATTTTTATTCCGGCTAACAAGACTTTAAAGAACTTTTTAAGTCATCAGGCAGCCCTCAAAGCTATGATATTCAAAAGAGTTGGAAGTGGAAGAAACCTCATATTATGATATGCCCATCAAATGAGATTCATTTTCTAGGCGACAACTCACCGATTTTGGTCTAGAATTCGATAGCACGTTTCAGAAACACTATCAAAAGTACCTGAACACAGAAAAAGCAAGAAGATATAATAGAGCCAAGCGGCCGCAGTGTTCTGGGCTAAATCTAACCCTGTCTGCTTTTCATGGACAAAGATAAAAATAAAAATGAAAAGATTTGGATCAAAGTTACTTTGATCTGGGTTCCAGAAAGATGAAAAATCAGACGAGCTTGCTTAAAGATAAACCAAATCTGAGTTTATAGGACCAGAACTAATTAATAATGTAATTAATAGACTAATTAATGTAATAAATTATTATTATATAAATAGATTAAATTAATTAGGCCAATTATAGTTGTTATGGCTTAGAAAGCTACAAAAAGAGGCGAAATACCAAAAATAAAACATAATGTATCATAAAGGTATATGATTTTTAGAGAAACATGGCTATGCAAAGAATTATGATTTCAAAACGAAAAGTAGATATAACACTCATGAACTGAAGAGGTTAACTCATTTGAAAGCGCTTTCATTGTCGTAATCTCATGGGAGTGATAACAGGACACGGTCATCTGGGTAATGACATGAGAAGGATAGGTCTACAATAAACGTCGTACTGTTGATTTTTCAGTGTAAAAGACGAATCCATAGAGGACAGTCTATATATCTGCTGCGCTTTTGAAATAATTGGGTTCAAAATTTTCCTGACTTAAGCCCACCAAGCTTAAACAGATTTTACCCAGCTCAACCATGCTCTTCATCTAAAGATGTGGCCTATACCGTGAACTGCAAGTTAGATATGAGCCGCAATAGATCCATCTGAGTCACAGTTAGTCTAAGATCCGAAGGAAGGTCTCTAAGATCCGAAGGAAGGTCGACCTTCACCCATCGGATATAAGTTTATTTTTTATTAAATAAAATGTGTTTATATATACTGCAGATGTGTTGACTAAGAAAATGCGGCGAAGACTATTTATTTCCTTAAAGTAAAAAAAAACGACACCCTATAAAGTATTCTCCAGATGCTTCGACTATGCCCAAAATTTAATCAGCGCACCGCAGGATGGATTAAAGATTAAGTTTAAAATTTGGTGTTTTTATCTTCATCTCTTTTTGAGTTATCTTCAAAATTCGTAATATGCACTTTTCCTCAAATATCTTGAATACGGTTTATTTTAGGAATATTATGTATAGGACCATAATTATCTTATCTATATACAGAAAGGAAATTAAAAAATTGCCGTGACAGTATTTTCATAGGCAGCCCATTTGCGGTATATTTATAAATATATCTTATTTATTAAAAATCTGACATCCCTTATATAAATGGGTTGGCCTTACTTCGTATCCTGTACTAAGTGTAAGGCGATTAAATCCATATCATTTTCAACCTATTCTAACCTAAATATTCGCAAAGTTTGTTTAATTTATTATGTGTTTCGAATTATAGCCTTATGGGCTAAATAAATCCATAAATTAAACTTACTGATTGATGTGATGGTCGTATCCTAAAGGAACTTTAGGGATAGGGTTAGGGAAAGAAAGGAAAGTGTACAATTAATTATATTATAAAAACATTAACTACTAAACTTATACCGGTTTTAGTAATTTTACTTCGATTGATTTCGATCGGCCTTAATTCATGACTGCGTAGTACCGAATGTCCAGAAGACGCTAAATACAGAATGCGACGTTATATAACGAACATTACTGAATAATATGCCTTACTGCAATTTTTAGTAACATCTTTCAATCAATGCTTTAATGTGACTCTTAAATCTAATAGTCTGATTAATAAATTAATCAAAATGTTCTGCTTTATTTTTATAATACTTACATCTTTTATCTCATATCTCTTTTATCTCTTAATATCTAGACTTCTGGCCTCCTTAAAATCAAAACAGCAGTATTTTTTAAACGGTCAATAATAAAATTGTGTTGTTTTGAATATTAGGTGCAAATCTATATTAATCAGATTGGTTTTAGCATTGGGAATATCTCAAAAACGTTTGGTAAATAAATAAGAAATGTATACCATAATTATCGCAAAAGATTTACTGCAAACATAATTCCTTGAAATGTTCGCTTTTTCTGGAGTTAATATTATTAGTCACATTTTTTTTAATATAATCTGATCTAACCTTTAAATATGAGGTTAAGTCAATCTTTTGTAGATACAATTATTAATGTGATTACATAATAATAAAATAAATATAGCAAATAATATACAGTGTGACAATTTAAAACTTTACAATATCTCAAAAACCTAAGATATCAAAAAACGCTCAAAACTGTTACTAGGATAGGAAGGGGAAAATAAAATGACAAAAGAGAACTCACAAATTTGTAGTTCAACAAAAACTTCATTAAATTTTCCTCTTAAGGTAATGTTTTACAATTATTGATGCATCCTGTACAATTGTTATTTGGACCACTGGATAAGCATTTCCTATAGGCTTTTCAATGATTTATCACAAATTGCTATCTTTCGTTTGTCGGATATAAACCACTGTACGTTTTTAAATTGTCACACCGTATAGATTTGTACCAGTTTGTAACACATTGTAACTATTAATATAATAGTTCATCGTTTTACTTTGAGGTACTATTACAATAAATAATTATTTCATAGGTAACCATAACTATAGATCGTTTACATTAAAGTTCAGCGAGTAGGTACTTTATAGGTATGGCTACGGAATTACTGCAAATACTGAACCTTCGTTCTCCAGCTATACTATCATATTTAAGCCTAAATGGCAGTTTGAGTTATGTTCTCAAGATTTAAGAGTCCTAATTATTATCCTATTATTTATTGGGTCATAACATAAATCAGAGTTGTGGTTTGAAGAAGATGATAAAAATTTACTTATACCGTGTTCGTTTTGCTATAGTTCAATCAACATATTGCTGTTCTAAAAATAAAATGACTCATTGAATTAATTTACTTTAAAATAAATTTTTCCAATTATATATGCATATAATTTTCCCGATTTTTGAAGACGTAAAATAATGAGTCGTTTTCTTTTAAAGAAGAACCCGTTACATAAAATGGTTTCTATAAAAGGCTCTAACGATGAAGAGACAAAAGCTTTGGGAACCGATACATTTCACGTGTAGATTCTTATCTTTCTTTCTTTCTTTCTTC